CAAACTAGAACTAAATCACAAAAAGAAAATAAGGAACCCTCCCACTTCATGGAGATGGAGATCCATGCTACTGGAAGACCACTGGACTAATGAGAAGATCAAAGAAGAATTAAAAAATACTTTGAGTTGAACAACAAGGAGGACACCACTTTCCAGAATGTATGGGATGCAGCAGTAATAAGAGGAAAATATATAGCAATGCAGGCTCACATCAAGAAACAAGAAAGAACTCAAAGAAACAACCTAATCTCACATCTCAAAGAGCTAGAAAAAGAACAACAACAACAAAAAAAAAAACCCTAAAGCCAGTAGAAGAAAGGAAATAATAAAAAATCAAAGCAGAAATAAATGAAATAGAAATTAAAAAAAAAATCCAAAAGATCAATGAAACCAAAAGTTGGTTCTTTGAAAAAATAAACAAAATAGACAAACCTCTAGCCAGGCTCACAAAGAAGAAAATGGGAGAAAACACATATAAATAGGATTATAAATGAAAGGGGAGAAATCACAACAGACTCAGTGGAAAATGTACAATCTTAAGTTTTTTTGTCCACAGGGGATTTATTTCAAGTTCCCAAGCAGATGCCTCAACCATAGGTGGAAACCAATCCATTATACTATGGTTTTTCTTATATGTCCATGCCTATGATAAAGTTGAATTTATAAACTAACATTTATAAACAAACTATTATGAACAGGAGATTAATAATAAGATAAAACAATTATAATAATATGCTTTAATAAAAATTACGTGAATGTTCTCTCTCGTTCCCTTTTATATCATATTGTATATAATATTTTCAGACTATGGTTGATAGTTACTGAAACTGCAGGAAGTGAAAGGATGAATAAGAGGGGACTGCTGTTTATGAAAAATAAGAAATTGAAAATCAAGGAGTTAAGCTTAAGGTACTGGGAAAATATAGTTAACAAAAGACTATTAAATAAACCAAAAAGAGGCATTATAAGGCAAACAATTTGGAGGTCAATCCAAAGAACTGATTAGCCACATAACATACTACCTTAGCTCCCTCATACTCCAAAATGAGACTGAAACATGGACTTTTGTGCAGGCAGTTTATTCAGGAATAAATCCTGGAAGCAGAAGTGAGGAGTGAGAAATTAGAGAAAGGAAAGCAGAGCAGAGAAAGCCAGTGTAAACATGCATCATGGAATTGGACACTGCTTTGGATGTAGGGCTCTATCATGCCAGGGATTCTTTGATGAACCACATAGAATTCAGTATTATCTTCCTGAACAAAGGCTGTCATTTCTCTATCAGCCCCAGATGCACACCGCACTTATTCAGGTTGCACAAGAATAAATGACAGGTATCCTACAGTGGTACCATAATCATATATCAGACTGCAATTTACAGGACAGCACCTACTTAATAATTTTTACCCTCTTCAGTTATATATTCTGCCTTGTCTATGCCAGTACTTTCAATATCCATGCCCAAATGTGCTCTCTAGCTTCTGCCAGTAGGTGCCATAGTTGGTTTTCTATATATGTTCTTTCCTCCTGGAGTACAACTATATTTTCCTCCTCTAGCCATGCTGTCACTTCATCCTAGTTAGTGTAGAATCTATGAGGGAAGTGGGGGCTGATCTGGGGGAGAAAAACATCATAGGAGATATCCACTGATAGTAAATGTCTTCCATCTTTGAACAGCATGCCTGTAACTAGGTAAGATGAAGCTGCTCTTTCTTATCAGGGTTAAGTGTGATGCTTCTGTCAACCCAGAGTGTTTAGGGGGACCTTAGGCTTAGCCACTTAAACTTCCCCCACAATAGGTCTTGAAGTCCTACTCCTTCCTCTTCATCTTTGTATAGGTGTCCTGTCAAGACTGTAGATTCAGTCCTCTTTGTAGCTCTGCCACCCATAAAATGCAATCGTCAGTTAAAATGTTCTGCAGCCACAAATCATACCTTCTCTAAGGGCTGCCAAAGCGGTCCAGCTCTCAAAGCCTACTTTTAATTGGTAGCTAAACTAAACTTCTTAATTTTATACTTAACCAAGACCAGTCAATCTGTGATCCTTTTCATTAACATTACTACTACTCTATAGAATGTACAACACTAAGAGTGAACCCTAATGTAAACCTTAGACTTAAGGTAATAATTATGTTTTAAAGTGTGTTCATTGATTGTAACAATGTCCTACTATGGTAAGTGTTATCGATAATGGGGCAGGCTATACATGGGGACAGGGATATATAGTAAATCTCTGTAATTTCCATTCTATTTTGCTGTGAACATAAAGCCACATTTAAAGAATCTCTTGAAAAGACATAAATGAAGTCATTTTTTTAAATCAGTAGTATAAGGTAAAGATGATGCAACATGAGAAAACCTAATTTTATATATCACATTACATGATCACTGCGGAAAGCTACAATCATCCTAGCAAAAGAAAACGTGCTTAAAATCATTTCCTAGATTTAAAAAATCTTTAGTAAAAACAGATTTGGCAGTAGCTTCTAATAAAATAGAAAAAAGAAACAACTTGAATCAAAAGGCAACCTCATGCTTAATTATTGAATAAAAACAATTTTCTTCCATCACGTATAAGCAAATAAGGATTTGTGGAGTGCATTCATGGTCCTGCACAGGTTCTTGACATGCCATTTGACTATTTAGTGTGCTAATGATAGTTTCAAAACATTAAGCCTAAATGGAACCATGAAAAAAAACACTCAACAGTTTCATCCAGAGTCTAAGAACTGGTATAAAAGCAAGTTATCAATTGTTTTTTTTTGTTTCCTATATTTAACACTCAAAATTAGGAATGATTTTACACCTGTCTTTACTATTAGAGAAAATTCAGAAATAAGTCTATTCTACAGTCAATAGCAATTAACTTTTCTATCATTCACATGACCAATTTGATCTGCACCTAAATGCAGGAAGATTTTAGACTGTGGAAAGCTCTCAGCTCTTTTGGCACAGTGACTCAACGTTTGTTTTACTGCTAACTCATAAGCCTGAAAAGCATCTTTCTCACAGATATATCTCTAGAAACAACTGAGGAAAAACATTCAGAAATGTTTTGGAGTCAAGCAAAAACCTCACATAGCTTTTTCTTTGCCTCTTTTCTAGCATTTTTTGCCCATTGTGGCAAAGGGAATAGACAATGTACTTGTGAAACATGAGGTCAAAATGATTTTGCAATAGTGCCTTTGCACTTGCAATTCTGTTCCTTCTGCCAAAAAAAAAAAAGCAAGAAACTCTTTTTTTTTTTTAATATTTTTATCAGAGAGCATAAGTTTTTTTTTTTTTAAAGATTTATTTATTTATTTATACAAGCACTGGGTACAGTCAGAAGTGTGGGAGGGTGAGAGAATTCACTAGAGCCAGAGTGGGGAACAGAGCAGGCAGAAGGACCGAAGTACACTGCTGAGGGGAGCAGCGGGCAGCTGGAGAGGTCTGCGCGCCATGTGGGACCCTCCTCCAGTGGCCAGGGAGCAGCAGGGGATCGAACCAGGGGATCGAACCAGCGCTGCAGAGTCTGTGGGCAGCTTCGCAACCCAGCACTCAACCGCTGCGCCACCAGGGAGGCCCAAGAAACTCTTATTCCAGGTACATTGACCACTTCCTTCCTCTTCCTTTAGTTTGATAAGGTATTACCTTAATAAAATAAGAATTACCGTTCTACTCTACATGACCAGAACTTCTTACTCACGCTTTCCATGGTCCTTTTCAATCAAAGACATTATATATTCATTTTTTAGAGTGTCAGTTTCTGCCAGCTACAATAGAAACTTCATGAAAGCACAGACTATTTTTCCCTATTTCTTCATTCCCAGTGCCTAGAACACATAGCAGTACAAAATAAATATTTGTTAAGTTCATGTAAATTCTAGAGTATTTATAATATACAACTGACATTTTCTCTAGCTAACTTAAGCACCCCTGAACATTTGAGAGGCCTTTAGAAAGACGAGGCCAAATAATAATAATATACAAGTGTAAATATAAGTAACTTTAGTCACTAAACAATGCAGAATAAAGTATGATGAAAGACCAATCTGGCCACAAACTGAAAAATTCTAACAATTTGTTTTCCTATAAAAATAAAACTTGCATTAGAATTTTTAATTGGAAACATTTCTTAGGAAAATATGAATGTGCAAATATAAGACTAAGAGCTTTTTTAATGCATACAAGAGCTGAGGTGTAGACCAGAGGTACAGGGGATTCACCAGAGACAGAGTGGGGAGCAGAACAGGCATATCTACTGAAATTCACTTCTGAGGGAAGCAGTGAGCCAAACAGGAGAGGTCTGCTGTACCATGTGGGTTTGTTCCCTGACTGGCTGGGGATCGAACTCATGCTGCAGTGGCTGCCAATAGCTTGATAGTGCTGAGACTTAATCCGTGCACCACCAGGGAGGCCCCCAAGACTAAGGTTTTAATTGATGACTACCCAATCTTTCTATTCTGATACTCAGAGCACTTTGTTATAAGAGAAAGGACAGGAGCTTTTTTTTTTTTTTATTCAAACAAGCCTGGGCTGTACCCTGCTTATGTCACTCATGAGTGATGACTAAGCAGGGTATTTAACTTTTTTGAGTCTCTTATCTGCAAAGTAGGGGTAAAATGAACCTTGTAGGGAGTCTGTTCCATCTCTTTGTTTTGTAAGTGGAAAATACCACTATCCAACAAGCTGCCCAACCTAGAAACTCTCTCCTTCACACCTTGCTCTTCTTTACCACCACCCACAACCTCCAGACCAATAAGCCATTTTAACTTTACATCATTAAGGTCTCTTAAATCCATGTGCACTGCCATATGCTATATCTGTAGCCTGGGACACCACTGTCTCTCTTTATCTGGATCATCATGACAGCCACCACCATTACCCCTCCATTCCCGAAAAAGCAGAAGAAATGATTTCTCTAAAATAATCATGAGAATAAGATATTTACCTCTTTTCCTGGCTGCCTGATAGTCTAACTACTCTTTCTTCCTTTGTCTATTTTGTGGGAGAATTCCACACCTTGTGAGATTTGGGTGGGAAGGAAGCCAGCCCCCCGTTGTTGAAGTCTATAGGAATTAGATATTCTAAGAGTCTTTTGGCAGCTAAGTTATGGGTCTGTGATTCAGACGTGGCCATCAATCACCTCCAAAACTTTGAATATGACACCAAAGGAGGAGGAAGTGACACCTAACTGTAGGAACAGTGGGGACACTATTCAGCATGATGGAACTGGCATCCATAAGAATGCCATGGGTCTGGTTGTGGTATGTTTCTGTGAAGCCATATCTATTGCAAAGCACTGACAGGATTGTCCTTATTGCTTGGCCTCCCTTGGTTGGTGTCCATTTTCTAAATTCTGTTCTCTAGTTCTGATATTTCCAAAACTAACCCATAAATATTCTACCACTAACTTCCACTCTTGCCCATGTCAGTTACCTTTGCTGGCATCCAACAGCACTGATTGCCACTTCATGAAACACCGAGTCCCTCCAACTCCTTCCCATGGCCTTGAGTTAACACCCTGTTCTTAGCTTTGGGGTTCTAGCACTGCTCACCTCTCCAGCCTCGTTGTGTCTTATTCTCTACCATGCTTACCTTCCTGCAGTTAATCAAGGCTGGCATGTTCTCTCTCTCTTCTAGACACACTTTATTTTCTTTGCCTAAAATCCTCATTTGCATGCAAAGTTACCTTTGTCCTGTTGACAGAGAAATCTCTTCAACTAGCAGGGAACACAGCCAGAGACAGCATCACAACTACCTCCTTACAGTTTTAAAAGGGACCAATTTACACTGTATTTAGAAAGTTGCCGGGAGGGACCCAGTTTGGATCATGAGCTCACCCTTCTCACAAGGAGGACAAGGTGCTATGAAAGAAGTAGGGAAAAATTGAGTTGATCAGGCTTTTTTATGCCCTCGACCTCTGTGGCTCTCACCTGCTGGCCTTAATTGTGTTGATGAAGAGGGCGCTTGGGAACATGGGTGAGGGGCATGTGTGCCTGATTGTGGACACCTGGAGCATGGGTGTGCATGCATACATAAATGTGCACACCTGAACCTAAAGTCAGTGCTATAAGGGCAGCATCACTCAGAGATGGGGGCAGCTATGAGAGGATGATCCAGAGGACGAGTGACTGCAAATGAGGTGAGCGCACAAGAGAATGCCAGAGAGAGCCCAGAGAAGGAGTTAATGTTCATGGGGGGTTAAGAGGTTTGGTTGTTGCCTGCCTCCCAGCCCCCTCTGCCTGGCCTGTGCCTGCCTCCTTGCATGCCAGCCTCCCTGCCTGGTGTGCCTGCGTACCTGCTTCCCTGAGAGTACGTTAAAGCCTGAAAAATCCACTGAGGGCTCTGAGACTCTCCTTTATCCATCTTCCCAAACTATAGTGAAGCTGCCCTGTGCTTGCTGGCATTAAAATGGGCTAAGCGAGGTCTGTGCCTACCTTTGTGGCCAGGATGGAGGGTACTTTGTCCTTTTCTCTTGTGGTATACTTTCCCCAGATAGACTACCCAATATCCAGCTCTCTTGTTTAGAAAAGAATTTCTAATTGTGTGTGAACCGTGTGAAGTGGAGAGAATTGAGGGGAAGGCATAGGCATTTGTAGAGAAAACAATAAGGATACAGGGCTATAATAAGGACAGCTCAAGTGGAGTGTTGTAAGGTATATAAAGGCACTGGAAACCCGAGGGCTGGGAAAGAAGATTCTAAAAGTTGGGATAAGAATGCATAAAGGGAGAGGAGAGGAAAGATTTTAGGTGCTTCGTAAATCTACGTAGGCTTGGTGGCAGTCATCACCATTTATAGTGAAAAATCACCCCACACTTCACGTAACAAAAAGGAGAAATAAAACAAACCTGAGATATAAAGCTAGACAGACTTAACTCTTAGTTCTGCCAATTGCTAAGGCAGTAACTTCCCCCAAAGCTCCTTTTCCTCTTTTGTAAATTAAGGATAAAATAAGCATTCTCAATACTAAGTGCCAAGAGCAAGCTGCAGAACTACATGTGTAGTACGGCAGTTTGTCTCTTTTTAACAAAAGCAATATATTCAGCAAATATTATTGTGCATACATGAAGTGGAACTGGGAGTGGAAATGGGGTGGAGTGAGAGTTATATGCCATTGTATGGTCCCTAGTGTTTTTTAAAATAATTATTGGGTACATGTTTCAACTATTCTCATAAATTACTTAATTGCATAAAATATCAATCTCACCAAGTAGTTGCAAAGAAAACTATGCCTAATAGATTTCCAATAAATACTGGAGAAAGGAATTCCCTTCCTTTTTGTAAGTGGACATAAATCACCCATCTGGACTAGCATAAGAAAGCTAGAGATACTCTAATGTAAACCCCACTGGTCTATATAAGGAGTCCACACGTTTGCTTTATTATCTGTGTGCATAAAGCCTGCATATATGTAGTATATGGGAATCAGACAACTTGAACATATATCTTGTCAAATTGGGACTGCTATACCACTATATCATCTACCAGAAATATTATAAAGTATGCATATGCTTAGGTTTATACTTCAAATGTATACATTTGTTTAATTTTTAATAGAGGTAAACATTGAACAAGTAATTCTGACCCTTTCCATTTCTGAAAATTGATATACAAGGTGAAGGTGAGTTAGTAATTCTAAGATTGGAAAAAAAATTGTGCTTCTAGAATAACCCCTAATTTTTACATATTAAGAAATGCCTACCTGTGACAGTTTCTCTAACTCATTAACCATCTGCTGAAGGTCTGGCTATCATTTTCCACACTTGGCTCCTACGAGCCATTTCACTACCCAGTCTCTAAATCAAAAGCATGTTCTTACACCTGTTTGTATTTCCATTATTGAAAGAGGGAAAGAAAAATTGAACCTTGGGTGGAAAACAAGGGTCTTTTGAAAGTAAAGATCTATAACCTAGAAAAATTAGTAACATACAAAAGCCACCTTCACCTACCACTCTGGATTGGACATTCACTAAAAGCAAACATGTAAAATATATTGTGACTCTAAATATATAATGCATAATGTGCAAAAATATTCCAAGTAACAGAGACCCAGGTACTTATCAAGTATTTATGTTGTTCTTCTAAATACATGTTTTATTTACCATAAAATATATAAAATATTTACTTTTTTTCTAAAAAGGTACTGTAAATTATTCAAAGTCTAGTACATTTCACCATTTCTTTCCACAGGTAAAATTGATTTCTTGGACCACTAGCAATGTTTTAAAAAAGGGAGCTTGAGATCCAGAAAGTTACCATTCAGTAAAATCAAATATCCACACATAATACTTAATTCTAGTAAAACCTAAATATGAAAATCTGGATGTCCATATGAAAAATCAAAGGTAGCCACTTGGGGATTAACAAGTATCACTAGTATGATTAGAAAATAGTACAGAAATTAACTATCTTCTGTACCCCTTTAGAAGAGAAGATCAAGAGTTAAGGGTTTTTTTTATATAGAATCCTGTGATCAGAACTACAATTTCTATTTTTCATAATCATTCTAATAAGAAAATCCTTGAAGAATAAAATACTCAATCCAGACCCCATGTCTTTAAGTGACAGTCTTTTCCATTCTATTATTTGTGGACATGCAATGGTATTCCCTCAGAACTACTGGTAAGGAGACCCCTGCCTAGTATTTGAGCTCTGAGTCATCTTCAAGAGAACAATTTCTTGCTCTTAATTTCATTGAAATTACTGAGCATAGCTCCATATCAAATACAGTGATCTCTGTGCTGCTCCAACTCATATCCTTTCAGAGTTTACCTAATAGGTCAGTAGTAATTTACCTGTGAAGTTAGGAGATAACCGTACGTCTACTCACTTAATTTTTTCTTGGAAAATGCTCCTTAAATTATGTTTTGCATGTTGAAATGACTCTGCTTTCAACTTGTGCTTAAAGGTATCTGAGGCTAATGGATTGATCATCTTGATTAGAGAAAGGCTACCTTTACAGTTCTTACACTTTGGTAATGGAGCTTACATATTTGCCCTAGCTGATACTTTATAACCTATTTTATGACCTCATTAACTCTCTTCAATGATATTTAACCATGTATGGATATATAATTAAGATACAAATTTAATCAACCTTAGAACTAAAATTATAGAGCCAAGACAACCCAGCCTTCTCGTCATAGTTTCTGTGAGAGTTTGCTTTACAAACATTGAAACTCCTTGTTCAATTATTTTCCTGTTTTTCTTCCACAGGCATCTTTAATTGTTTCTCTTTAACACTTCCTTTGACTACCACTTTTTCTGCTTTCCTTAAAGCTCCAAATTTCTCATAATATGAAAGTTTGAAGGAGTTATTAAGGTCATTTGAGCCGATATCATGTTTTGGGTTTGGATTGTTGGCGTGAAGCCAACAGAGCCGGAATTTTCTTTCCTGCTTACCCAAGCAACAGCCTAATTAACCTTCGTATTCCAGCTGTGAAAGGCCAGCCAGTAGCAAGTGAAATGATTTTTTTCCTGGTCCCAAAGCAAGTTATTAGCGGCTGTGGATCCAGGAATCTCTATTCTCTCCATGGAGCCCATCAGATTTTTCCCACTGTGTTATTAAGTTGGAAGAAGATACTTTTCCATGCTCCTTCCTGAGAATAACTACATGTTCTTGCAGTTACTAATTGTATTCTATCTTAGAACCACTGGTTTTGTCCTTATTACTTTAAATCTGCTCCAAAAAATAGTTTAAATATAATTAATAACATTCATACTATGAGTGAGGCTTACATTTTCAGTGAAAAGATTTTCACTTGGAGTTTTTTTTAATTTTTTAAGTAGAAACAAATTACAGGAATTTGTCAGAGACAGAATAGAGATATCAGAAGAAGGCAGTGCCACCCAAAATTGTCTAGGCATTTAATTAAAATGAGGGCCAGCTGGACAATTAAAAATTTAATACAAAATATGAAATTCGGACTAAGGATGAGTTACCTTTTTAAGAACACACCTCTTTATAGAGTCAGCCATCAAGATTAAGCAGATCTAAACAAATACAGTTCAACATAGGTAAGAAAGATTCCTCCATTGTGAAACAACCACACAATAGACACCTGAGGAAGGGAAAATTCCTAAGGCCCGACCTCATCAGCTAATTTTTAGTGAAGCACATTTTCTGAATTTACAA